TCGCTAGTCGCAGGGAAAGGCTTGGTTAATATTTCTTGTAAAACTCATCAATGGGTCAGTCTGTAGCCCATCTCTCTTGTCTGATATTAATTTTAACATTCCCGCTCGCTCTACCAGGCAGTTTAGACCTTTGCTTTTAAAATTTTCTAGAACAAATTTCGAGTTAAACGAACCCTTCCGCCGTATATATCACGATTTCAATTCTCATTCCAGCACATTTGATCTAACATATTCTCTCTTTACCATTAAAAAAAATATTTTATCTACTCTTAACAAGTAACATTTAAAAATTATAAACTTTAATCTAATTCATAATTTTGGCTGTTGAAACTTTTGGTTCTGTAGCTGAGCAGCTTAAGATCGCAACGCTTAAAACTCTCTTACCTTTTTTTGCTTGTTACGAATTTCCTTCAATTCATTGTAGGCAATGCCTGGAACTTTCTGCATTCAATAATTTGATGCAAAGGAACCTTGCAGTTCTTGTGCAGCTGTATACGTAAAATGTAGGTGTTCCCTGTGGCTGCTTTTGAAGACTTGGAGGAGAAGGCTCAAGAATTTGCCAAGCAGCTTCGTAATTTGTATCTGTTACTGGTAGATGTTGAATGAATATACCAACTTCTCCACCTAATGATGTCTTTAATCGGAACATCTTTTCCATTTTAGTAAAGTGCTCTGAATTATGCACCAAACTTTTAAAAAGATCGCGGAATGACGACCATAGTTTCATTTCACCATAATATATCGGAATTTTAATTTCCTGCATTTACTATACTAGAACACATTTTTGGGTTGTATTGTTCCTCTTTAATTATTCTGTAAGTATTTCGAGAGTAATTGTATCTTTTTCTCGAAATTTTCTACTTGATAATCAATAGAGTTTTCCGTTATTACTTTTAGTTGGATATTTTGAGTCTCTAAATAGCTTCTTCTACATATTCAAATTGTATTTGAAGCTTGGTCTTGAATTCTCTCATTTGCTCGAGAGAATCCAGTTCGTTTTGCTTAGTTTCGTCAAATGTATTTTTGAGCTTTTTTGCACGCCGTTTATAGCTTTTTTCACTGCCTTGTTGCAAAGATCCAATCAGCCACTTGCTGCTTACTGCTGAAGGACCTTCGGAAACATTTTGAACTTTTAAATTTTGAATGGAATTTTCCTTTATTTGAATTACATGATCGTAGTAGTTTTTCGCAGTGTAATCATCTGCTTGTTGTTATGATTTGCTGTTAACTCTTTTATAATAGTCTGAATATGCTAAATAATTCCAGACATGAAGCTTTTCTAATTTTCCGCTCAGAAATTTTTGCTCCTCCAACGAAGCCGGATCGCCCAACTCCTTCTGTCAATTTTGCAAATTCTCCATGGTTGCTTCTTTTGGTTGCGTTGATTTTTGTTGACGTAGATGATTCTACATATCGTCACATGAAATGCAAAATAACGTATAATCAAAAAATTCTAAATTGAGTGTCTTATTGATTACGATTCACTACTTCAAATTACATACATAATATTTCATATTTTCAATATTTTCAGGTTGTGTGCTCAGATATAAACCAGTTTTAACCAATAATAAAATATTTTTTTTTTCACTCATCTTCTATTTAATTTCGTGTTTTATTCATACCACTGTAAATTTCCGAAAATGTTACGTTATTTTGCATTTCAGGTGACGATATAATTCTATCTTAAGAAATAAAGTGTCATGTTCATATATTCATGAAAATCCATGAAAATTCCATAGCATAAAAAATTTATAGTTCAAAAAGAAAAAAACACCTAATATATATGCATACATAACTCCTTAGCTTCCTGGATTTGCTTTATGCTGATCAAACAACCATCAGGTTAACAAAACTGAAACCAATCAAATTTGGAATCGTTTTAACTTCTGTATTTTATAGGCCGTAAAATATTTATATTAAAGAAATAAATCCATTTCATTTTGACTAATTTTGCTATTTGTGACTGGAAAATTAAAGGGATATTTGGATATTGCTTCATTGGTTTGATGGTATGGGACRTAATGGCCGAAATATACATTTGTATATATATACATATTTATATATATTCGTGAAATGTTGTATTTATTTCTTTTGATGTGAACATTATTTTAATAAATTGCAAAAAACGTAAGAATAAATGTTAAGTTTCGACTAACATTTTTCACTTTAGACATAAAAGTAAAATAAATGTTGGGTGTACTCTGGACCAACATATTGCAAGAACATAAAAATATTTTGGTTCCGTCAGCAGTTAAAATCTATTTAAGTGGTGGTAACTGCTTTGTTCAAGATAGCTACCCGATACATTTTACTTTCGCGGTTAAGGGAGGGTTATTGTACAACGTATAAAAATTGGAGCCACATCTTCCCCAGAGTCAATTAATGCAAACTGTACAAAAGGCTTTTGTTGGTTTTCAAAAATCGAGAATTGATTTTGAAACTTTTTGGAGAAACTTTTTGGTTTGAAAAGTCTCAAGCTTTTTTGAGACAAGTTAGTCAATTGGGAATGTGTGAAAAATTGCCTGTACCGAAAAATTAAATAAACGACCGCTCGCGAAAGTTCTTCCTACGCAATTGAATTCTTTATTCGAGGAATTTTATCACTTAGCCTAAACCTTAATCTAACGGCTTAAACTAACGGGACGCGTAAGTATGTAGTTACAAAAAAGGGGTAAGTAGAATTCATTTCGTTACAATATGCTAGACAATTATAGTGAGTATATAAAACAACACTATTGGGGTGAGTACTTTATATAAAATAAAATCCTTAACATTTTAATTCAATATTTAATATAAAATTAACTAATTTATTAGTTTAATAGAATATTTAAAAAGAGTAATATTTATGTTTAAAGGAGGTCGCTTGATGTAACACCGGCCACCTTGACAGGATCATGATCCTTCAACGTTGATGGGTAGCAGGGCGAGCTTATGAATGGGCCGCTTGATTGTGCCTACTTTCGTTGCCACCTCTGCCACTCGCACCTTGCCGTCTTGACCTTCTACGGTTGCTGCGACTCGTCTTAGTACCCACTGCTGTGGTGGTGTGTTGTCTTCGTGTACGAGGACGAGGTCGCCGACCTGCAGATTCCGCTCCGGATGTAGCCATTTGTTGCGCTCCTGAAGGCTCCTGAGATACGTTTTGGACCACTGCTGCCAAAATTGTTGCTTGAGACAGCAAACAAGTTGCCGTCTCTCGCAACAACGAATTATGTCCGCTGGCACTTGTGCTGGTGGCAGTGCTCGTAGAGGGCAATCGATCAGGAGATGTGCTGGAGTTAGTGCTTCTCCATCGTTGGGGTCCTGGCTCAACGGTGCTAGTGGAAGCGAGTTGAGAATGGCTTCCACTTCGGCTAGTACTGTTGACAGCTCTTCTGCAGTGAGAAGAGCGTTGCCGAG